AGAAGCTGATTGTTTAAATCAATCTGCCGTGTAACTGATTTTGTGTACTTGGTCGATGTTTGGAGAATGCTTCTATTGGGTTATTTTACTTTTAATGCAGTTTTATTTCACTTATAGCAACAGACTACGTGCAAAAGCATTTGTTTATAAAATTGGATTGCTAGAAATGGAAAAAACCGCGAATCATCAAAAATGACAACTCCCAGTCCATGACCACGTTCTTGTTCCATTTGTTTAAATTATTTTGAAAATATACAAAGGAAGTTTTCTTTGAGAGAGAGTCGCAACCTCTAGATTCATTTTATTCATTTCAATATTTCAAAACAGAGTCTGAAATTATTTGCAGGTTTGAAAATATATGAATATGAAAATGGGGGGGGGGGGTGAAAACGTTTTTGTCAGTTATTACAGTAGATTTTTTTTTTATTTTACAGTTCCAAGTTTTTTCGTAAGCTACGTGTTGTAATGAGTCTTGCAGAGTTGAAACAGATGATTCCAACTGAATATGTGTATATTCCAGATGAAGTCAAAAAGTGAGTTATTGTTTTTTTTCACCAAAAGTCATGCCTTTAATCGATTGAATTTAAAGTCTGTTGCTCACCATTTCATGCTATTTTTTTTAAATTGTGTAAATCACTGTTTACAAACATTGTAGATATTATGTTCACCTATGAATGCCAAGCAAACTTGTCAGCTTTTGCAAAATTAAACCTGTTTAATTTTTCCCATATTTTTTTATAAATTTTGATAAAGACTTGCAGCCAATGAAAAATTAGGTGCACCAAATGTTTTGAAAAATACAAAAAATGTGCAAAATGTTGACAGATATATTTATGGCATTCCTGAGCACAGACTACCAAATCTTGTCCGCGGCCACCATTTTTCAAAATTAGTAGTCCACCTGGGATACTAAAAATTCACTAAAGTATCAGTACTTTGTTTTTGAAATAAAGCAACTAGTCATCAAAACCATGAACGTCCTCACAAATTGAGCCAAAGAAAGTCTATTAACTGAGCAAAGCTATTAAGAAATGAATTCATCTATTGCTGTTGTTTTTGTTTACTAATTTGTTTGGCCCAATCTAACGCCCTCATGAATAATTAATCTCATGACATAATGCTCAGTGACGCATTTGAAAGAATTACTATGGCAACGCTACTCCCTTGTGTGAACACTTATCTGCAAAAACCTTTATTTTCACTCGGTTTTAATTTCACTATTTTGATATTTTGAGCATATTCACTGGGTTTTAATTTCACTATTTTGATATTTTTAGCATTTTCACTGGGTTTTAAGTTCGTAAATCTAGCAGAAAAACATTGTATTCTGTTATTATTTTACATGTTCATGTAGATTTATTTTAGTAGTAAATTAAAATAGTAAAATTAAAACTAGATGAATAATTAATATCTTTACAGTACATGCTTGCCACATATCATCTTTACATTGAACAAAACATTGTTTTGCTGTGTTTTCAAATTTGTATTCAATGTCTCATCTGTTGTTTGTTTGTTTTTGTTTTGTTTTGTTTTTTCTTCACAAAGGTTTGACGATAAGAAAAACAAGAAAAAGGTATCAATGTTATCATTTTTGCTTGACTGTAGTTAATAGTTTGTGTTTTCTGCTTTCTGCACAACTCATAAGTTTGTTCTTTTTATTTTGTCAAAATGAAAAGCATAAATCTTTTGATGACTCAATGCACCTAACAATTTTTTCAGCTTTTTTGCTGACTGTCGCTTTTGTTTAAAATGCACATACATACACGTAGTGTGATGACAACTACACATAAACTGATAACAACTTCACATAAACTGATGACGTCTACATTGTGATAACTACACACAAACTGCTGACAACTACATATAAACTGATGACATCTACACATAAACTGATGACATCTACACATAAACTGATGACGTCTACATATAAACTGATGACATTTACACATAAACTGATGATGTCTACACATAAACTGATGAAATCTAAACGAAAAACTTATGACAACTACACAAATTCACAAGTACTTCCTGCACACAGTTCTATTTATCTCAGAATGTTCAGTCTGTAGTTAGACTATGCACGTACAACTTTTAAGTATATAAGTAGATAAGATTACAACACTTAACATAATTACTCAACTAACTGGTTTTCATAAATAAACATCTCATAATACGCCTTTTGTCTATTGCTATATAATCATTAAGTAATTGTGTGATTTTCACAAAAAGCAAAATTTAGAAAATTAAAACTTGTGAGCATTTCATGTTGCCCAATCAGGGTGGGTTGTTGTTATCATTAACGAGTTTTGATTATGAATTGTCTGAAAGCGCTCTAATATTGTAATATTGCTGGGTCGTCTCAACCAATCAGATGCTGAAGCTATAATTAACATATAAATTGCACTGTGAACCTTGTCATTTGGAATGATCGTTGAAACGCATAAAATTTGCTCTAACTTAAAGGGCGGCAGTCGTCGTGCCGCGTCGTGTTCGATATGGGATTCATAGCGACGTATACAACGCATGTAAAATACATTGTTTATTTACATGAAATTCGAACACACACTGCGCGACGACAACCACCCTTTAATCTGTTGTTTGATTTGCAGTGAATGTTGCATTCATTATATGACAAAATACCTATCATAATCCACTGTATCACTAAAAATAATAGTATCTGTGGCAAGATTAATGGTGAAACAAACATACTTTTGCTAAAAGTGTCTTATGATACATTGAAGTTAAAAGCTGGTTATAGAATGACAGACACCCTATACAGGATTTTGACATAACTTGGTTCACACATCATGACCTCAGAACCATATATAGGTCGTTTGTCATTCGATACTCTGTACATAAAACACCGCGAAATTACGCTACATACAAATCCGGAAATTTTTATGATTCTATTGTATCCTATTTCCCAGTATGTAATATATTATTAGCTCCGCTGTCGACTTTGTCGAGCAGAGCTTATCATATGAGTGATTGTCCGTCGTCTGTCGTCCGTCGTTCGTGTCAATGTTTTACTTTTTCGACTTCTTCTTGAAAACTACAAGCCTGAATGCTTTGATACTTGGTGTATATGTACCTTGGGTAGACTTCTCTCAGATTTGTTCATTCCATGATCATATCTTCAATTCTCTAATTTTGGTGAATATTTTTGTCATTTTTTGGTAAAAAGTGATATTTTCGACTTCTTGACAAAAACCGCAAATCCAATTACTTTGATATTACA